GGCTTGTATTCCGTATCCCCGCCGGGATCATCATTCTCTGTCTCTCCTTTGCAGAAATGGAGATCACTCGACTCATTGGATTGACAACGATGATCATTGGAGTACTCTTCGTTTACGAACTGGTGGCTGTGGTACCAATTCACAGAGGAGACAATCAGCGTGAGGTTGTAGACGACAACGGAATTACCGTCCTTGCTGAGGCTTATGGGGAACGTCTGAATTCTGCCGTTGAGAAAGAGCTGAAACGTATCACTAACTCTAGATGTGGGTAGAGGTGTGGGCTGTTTTATATAAGTCTACTAATGCCTTTATTACCGCAAGATGGTTTACCTTTTGGATCTAGAACGTTTCCTGTTTTTATCTATTGAGGTCGTTTCACCTTTGATTATATTCTGGACAGCTACGACGGTATTATCCTTATTTTACATACATATTTACTTATCAACATTCTTTCTTAACAATCTAAAGGTATTTACTATTTCATACTATATACCATAAGGTCTTTAAGCGATGAGTGATTCTATGAGAAGAAAATTTTATGGCCAAATTGGTTAATGCAAAATGTGTGACTAGATGTTCGTTTACTAAACGAACAATAAAGCGACAAGGCAATCACCTAAGAAACTTTTTTAATCTCTTTCCCAAGGCCGTAAGATCTCCTTTATCAGATCTATATAATATACCCCCTAACTATGTGTTTCTTAACAGAGTCAGCTTAGTACACTAGTACGTTTAAACTCGTGGAACGGGGCCCCGAGTCTAGACTCTATAAACAACATTGTTTTGTCCTTGCATGTATTACAGGTCTGGTAGGGTTATACACATATGTACACCGATATAAAGTGATTGCTGCCATACTTGATCGATCATCCCTCTGTTTCAAGATCTGAGGCAGATTGCCGGTCAGATATATTTTCGGCACATGATTTTACGTTTGACCAGACAGAACTTCCATACATCAAACCTTCTACTTTATTATCTCCCCTCGGAAGTGTACGATAGACTCTAAATTTTGTTTTTGCTACTTCTGAGACATTACTCATTTCTACTTCGCTGAAATGAGCGTATAACTTGGATTATTACGGATAATCCGGGAGTTAAGTCGGATATTAACCGTGTTGTGATGCCACAGGGTTGTCATATGCAGGGAACGATTATTGCTTTTTCGCATATGCATAGACGTTCCAGCTAATACCCGCCCCAACCCGGCTTATCCCTGTCTAAACAATCTCTCTGTCTCATGACTGAATTTAAGGGTTAACTTCCCACCCCTTTTCCCACCTAATGATTAGCCTAGCCCTTAACCAGCTTCTTTGAACACATGCCAGATAACGAAACCTTAAACAAGTCTAGCGAACTGACCACAGTGCCCAATTTCGGCACCGGGACCACCTATGATGGCCCCAACAAAGCCTTAAGCCGCTCTTCCGCCCAAGCTTCAAGTCCCCCTGAAGTGGGATCAGATGATGATGGTGATGATGATGAGGAGGAGGAGGAGGATTTTGTACAGAAATACGGATCCATCCAAGTGGTTTACATCAAGAAACCCAAGCACTCACCATGGTGGACAAGACCATATGCGCT